GTTTCAGCCTGTGACTCCCTCTCTCTCTGACCCTCCCCTGCTCACGCTGTCTCTCTCTGTCTCTCCTAGAAATAAATAAAAAACATTAAAAAAAAAGAACAAACATATTTGGCCCATTGCCTAAAGGCACCTTTGGCTTCATATTGGGCTGCAGCAGCACAGGCCAAGAGGCCTAACCATAATTCCTGGAGTTATAGACTCTGATTTTGTTGGAGAAATTTTAATTATGGTTTCTACTTCTGTTACACNCCTGTTTCAGCCTGTGACTCCCTCTCTCTCTGACCCTCCCCTGCTCACGCTGTCTCTCTCTCTCTCCTAAAAATAAATAAAACATTAAAAAAATTTAAAAAAAAAAAAAAAAGAGAGAGAGAATGAAAAGACAAGTCATAGCCTGGAAGAAAATGTTTGCAAAGCACACATATAATAAAGGACTAGTATCTAAACTATACAAAGAATTCTTCAAAATCAACAACAGGAAAATGAACGATCCAATTGAAAAATGAACAAAAGATTTGAGCAGACACCTTTTACCAGAGCAAATATACAGATGATGAAGAATCAAACCAGCGCCATGACCAGCTTCAGGAGGCCCCAGAAATTAAGAGGCCCAAATTTCTGAGGCATGACTCAGCAGGCTTAAACAACCGCCATTCCCCCTGCCGGAACCAATCACTGGGGGTTGGGAAGTACCGGTCGTTCCCGCTGCTTCTCAGGCCCTCCTAGTTTTAAACTCACCAATCCCTCTGCGCTGCACCGGCCTCCGCCGCCACCCTGTCCTATCACATTGCAGTTTCCGCCCATCGCCCCTTTCCCGCCCTGTCTGAAATAAAAACCTTACCCCTCCATTGTTCGGGGCTCTCAGCACGGATCCACTGCGTTGGTGAGGTCTGGGAGCCCGAGCTTAAGCCCGAATAAACGCCCTTTGCTTTTGCAAACGTGACTCAGACTCCTTGGTGGTCTTGGGATTTGGGGGAGATCGCGATGTGGGCATAGCAATGACAAATAAGCATATGAAAAGATCCTCAATATCCTGTGTCTTTAGGAAAGTGCATATTAAAACAGCAATACAATACTACGACACATCTATTAGAATAGCTAACACCTGAGGTCTTGAAAATGCCCAATGGTGGGATGCCTGGGTGGCTCAGTAGGTTGAGAGTCTGACTTCAGCTCAGATCATGATCTCACAGCTCACGAGTTCGAGCCCTGCGTCGGGCTCTGTGATGACAGCTTGGAGCCTGGAGCCTGGAGATTCTGTGTCTCCCCCTCTCTCTGCCCCTCCATGCCAATGCTCTGTCTCTCTTTGTTTCTCAATTATAAATAAACACACACACACAAAATACCCAATGGTGATAAGGCTGTGGAACAACAGGAGCTTGCATTCATTGCTTCTGGGGAAGGAACATGGAACAGCCACTTTGGAAGACAGTTTGATGCTTTCTTATGGAAATGCACATCATCTTACCATACAATACAGCAGTTGTACTACTTGGTATTTACCCAAATTGGTTGAAAACTTATGTCCATGCAAAAACCACACTGATATTTTACAGCAATTTTCTTCATATTTGCCAAAATATGAAAGCAACCAAGTTGTCCTTCAATAGGGAAATGGATAAACAAGCTGGCACATCCAGATAACAGGATAATAGGATATTATTTAGCAATAAAAAGAAATGAGCTATGAAAAAAACACGGAGGAGCACTATATGCACACAGCTAAATGAAAGAGGCCAAATGGAAAGGCTACATACTAAATGGTTCCAAATATATGACATTCTGGAAAATGCACAACTATGGAGACAGTGAAAAAAAAAATCAGTGGTTTCCAAGGATTCAGGGATAGAGAGGTATTAACACATTGAAAATGGAGAATTTTTAGGACAGTAAAACTACTCTGTATGATACAGTAATGGTGGACACGTAGTACATTTGTAAAAACCTAACAAAGTGCACAACATAAAAAGTGAATCTTAATGTAAACTGTGGTTGTAATAAGGCATCAATTTTGGCCCTTCCATCCTCACAAATGTGCTACACTAATGCAAGATGTTAACAATAGGAAAACTGTACTAAGGTGTCGGGGAGAAGGGGTCTGTGGACACTGTCTTCACTTTTTGTTTAATTTCTCTGTAAATATAAAATTTCTCACAAAATAAAGCCTATTGATTTTTAAAAACTACACGATACTATAACACATTGAAAGAAATACTTCCCAAGATTGGGACTAAGAGCAAAGGTCATGTTCTTTGTGGGAATCAAGTAATGCCAAGTGGGTTTTGTGTCTCATTTCTACCCACTTTTATTTAGTGGGCCTCAGCCATCGTGGCATTCAGAAATGAAGTATATCTTGTTTTCCAGCTGCTTTCACAATTTCCAGGCTCTAGAGAACCATGGGGAACAACTATTCTAATAAAATATATACACAAAGATACAGTGTTATCAGTTGTGCTTAATGTTTTATGAGCAGTGAGCAAAGGAAAAAATAATTTTACATCAACTCCTACATAGTACTTACTCGTTTGGACATTGATGAACTTTTAGGTGCTGGGGGTGCACGTATGTCCCATGTCCTTCGGAAACTTGCCGTTATGCACTTTTACCATTTCTTCACTTTTTCTTTTCTGTGACTTGCTTTTTTTCATATTTTCTTTAGCAAAACTTGAATTCAGTTAAACTCAGCAGGCACTACTTAAGCATCTACCATACACAAGACTCTACTTTGGGCATTCGATGTGATACAAAAGCACACAAATATATCTATCCTCACATAGACTGCAAGTGTGCAGGAAGGCAATGACAGATATCATCTAACATATAACAAATAATATAGATTCTCCCACTTACCATTTAGGGATAAAACCAAACGCTATGACAGCAAATGTGTGTGGATTATATAACTAATGAGTGAGAAGGAATCACTGAGTAGGTGGATCAGAAACTGGGAAAATGTTTCAATAAAATAGTTAATGGAAGGTAGGTAATTTGTTTATTGTTGTTTTGTTTATTCTTTAAATGCATGAGTAAATTTACATCTTTGCTTAGAATTAAGCATGGACTGTGTGTGTGTGTGTGTGTGCGTGCGCGCGTGCGTGTGTGCTCACACACACATGCTGGCGCGTTGTGTCTCCTTCTCTTTCTGCTCCTCCCCTGCTTGCACTTTGTCTCTCTCTCTCTCAAAAATAAATATTTTAAAAAGTTTTTTGAAAAGTTCTACAATTTCTTCTCAGTATCAGTTTGGTCACATTCCACGGTTCTTTCTTTTATTTGAGAGGAGAATGTGGGGAGGGGCAGAGAGAGAGAGAGAGAGAATCCTAAGCAGGCTTCACATTCAGCTGAGGGCCTGAGTGGGGCTCGCTCCTACCACCCTGAGATTATGACTTCAGCTGAAATCAAGAATCAGATGCTCAAGTGACTGAGCTACCCAGGCACCCCATCCATAGTTCTTAACTTATAGCCCTATCACTGTATAGCTCAGAGTTTTGAATTTGAAGAACTGTATGAAACTGCATTAAAAAAAATGCATTTGAAATATAATGCATAGGCTTTTTCATTATTTATTTGTTGTTGATTTTAAATTGACTTTATAGTAGTCCGAGAAAAGTGATTTGCATCTTTTTTCTTGAGAAGTTAATGAGGTAGTCTTTGTGACTTAACACAGGGCCAATTTCTGTGATTCTTCATCTTTAAAAAAAAAAAGTAATATCCAATCTCTCTTGATTATTTGTTCTCATGAATACTCAAGCTTCTTAATTAAGGATTCGAGTCCACAGTATCCTTACTCGAAAGTCTTCTCTGCTTGGTCTATCCAGTGACCAGAGAAGACTTGAGGTTTCCCAGTGTGATCATTTTGTCTTCACAGTCTCATAATTTCATCAATTTTTATTTCAGATTTTTCAAACTTGTAATATATGTAAACATTCATGACTTTTGTACTTTCTGTTTGCATTTTGTATTCCATCAGTATGAAATATCTCTCCGGGTACCTTTTTAATGTAGTTAATATCAAAGTCTATGTTGTGAAATAACATTAGCAAATCTGTGATTTTTTAAGTATTTACCAGAGATTAGGTTTTTTTCCTCTTTCTCTTTTTCTCATTCTTGCTCTCTCATTCTTTTCTTTCTCCTTTTATAAAATAATAAAACCTATGGCAGATACCAAATTGTGCTAAAGGGAAAATGAAATATTAACTAGTTTCCTTTTTTAAATTTTAACTAAAATGTCTTTTCTATCTTAAATTTATTTAAAATACTCCTTTGGAAATCTAGATCATGACACTCTATCATATTTTATCGAAGCATTATAATTGAGAGTAATTGAAGCTCTGATTCAAAGCTGCCTCTAAAATAAAGGTTGTTTAAGGGTACCTGGGTGGTTCAGCCAGTTGAGTGGCTGACTTCAGCTCAGGTCATGATCTCTCAGTTCATGAGTTCGAGCCCTACCTTGGGCTCTGTGTTGACAGCTCGGAGCCTGGAGTCGGCTTCAGATTGTGTGTCTCCTTCTCTCTCTGCCCTTCCCTTGCTCACGCTCTGACTTTCAAAAGCAAATACGCATTAAAAAAAAAGTAAAATAAAGGTTATTTAACAGAAAATTTTGTAAATTATCTTATACTTTTTCTATCCTGATCAAATTTCAATCCAAATTGGTAAATTCTCATCAATCGTCCATAGAAAACAGGCATTTCATTTTTAATGTTACATATTTGAAAGTAATCATGTATCTAAAGGGAGAAAGTTGATCATTTTGAAGATTCAAGCTTTATTTTTGAAAACAAGGAGGGTTGAAGGAAAATGTCAGACAATAGGGGAAAACCCATAAACTGCTAACAGACTCAGCCCACGGCTGCTTGTTTTCTCTCTCAAGAGTGTTTGCTGCCCCCTGTCGTTCTTTGCAGAAATAGGATGTAAAAATAAAAAAGATTAAAAAGGCAAAACTAATTTTTTTCAAAAACGTCAATGAACAGCAAGCGTCTGCAAATATAATTGTCAAAAAAGGGCAAATGTATAAGGGCTTGATGTTCAAATATTTTGGAGGACAATTATGTGATGAATAAAATAAGCTTTGTAGAGGGATCTGTGAGATTGTAAAGCTGCCTCATCCCTGGTCTCTATGGAGAAAGAGGTGATAAAGGACCCCACCGTGTGAGCTGCCAGCTGTATGTTCTCTGGTCACTCCCACCGATGGGTCTCCTTCATGATGACGACCATCTATACAGTCCGCACAGATTAGACTGTATGATATGAAGTCCACGCAAACCTGCACAGGAAATGCACTTTCTGTTGAAAGATGATTAAGCAGCTTTACAGGACATGCAAAGAGCACCGTAGGAACAGAGAGAAGCAGCAGGGGGAAGTTGAAGTTGATGGCAAAAGCAGGATTTGGCATAAAAAGAGGTAAGAACAACATAGAGAAAACGAAACTAAAAAAAAGAAGAGCTCACTACAAAAGTTCACACGTTAAATAGGCACCAGATACCCAGCTCAGGCTATTGCTACATCCTGAAAGGTACCCCAGGACAACATGCGGCCTCTTTGAGGTAATTCCCAATACCTACAGACACCCCAATTTATCTTTACAACCAACCCATATTACCTAACATGCCTATATTTCTCTTCTTCCATGTGATATGAAAGGTATTATTTTATATAAGCCAATTTAAGTCTACAAATGTGTCAGTGATTAGTATATGTCATAAGTCCCTAAATATGATAATGAAAGATGACCTGGCCCCGTTTCCAGTTCTTACAACATAGAATTCTATACCTTAGACAAACTACTGTTTTCAAAACTTTATTTTCTTTTTTTCCCCTGCTTTATTGAAGTGTAATTGCTAAGAATTGTATATATTTAAGGTGTAGGATGTGATGAGCTAATACATGTATGCACTGTGAAATGATTACCATAATCAATTTAATGAACACATTCATCTTTTCACAATTACCTTTTTTGTGTGTGAGATGAGAATACTTAAGATCTACACTCAGCAAATTACAAATGTAGAACACAGTATTGTTAATTATAGCCACAATGCTGTACACGAGATCTCCAGGATTTACTCATCTTATAACTGAAAGATTGTACCTTTTGACCAACATCTTTTTGTTTCCCCCACCGCCGGCCGCTGACAACCACCATCCCACTCCCTGTTTCTATGAGTTGGACTTTTTAGATTCCATGAGCAGTATTTGTCTTTCTGTGTCTGGCTTCCTTCAGTTAGCATGATGTTCTCTAGGTTCATCCATGTTTTCACAAATGGTAGAATCTCCTTTTTTATGGCAGAATAATAATCCTTTGTATATAAGGCACATATGTACATATGTGTATATACGCACAAACACGTACACACATATTTCTTCATCCACTCATCTGTCAGTGGACATTTGGGTTGTTTTCATACCTTGGCTCTAGTCAGTAATGCTGCAGTGAATATGGGAGTGTAGATGTCTCTTCAAGATACTGATTTCATTCCTTCAGATAAATATGCAGAAGTGGAATTGCTAGATCATATGGTGGTTCTATTTTTAGGTTTTTTTTGGTGGAACTTCCCATACTGTTTTCCGTAATGGCTGTACAAATTTACATTCCCACCAACAGTATACTAGGATTCTTCTTCATTCACACCTTTGCCAACATGGATCTCTCGTTTTTTAAACGATAGCCATTCTAATAGCAGTGAGGTGATATCTCATGGTGGTTTTGAAGTGGATTGTCCTGATGATAGAAATGTTGAGCATCTTTTCATATGCTTGTTGGCCAGTTGTATGTCTTGGGGAAAATGTCCAAATCAATTAATAAATAAGAAAACTAGGCCAAGTAATGATCAAGATGAGGACCTTTTAAGGATCATGCTTACTTCACTTGTGTGCTCCTGAGATTCAAAAAGAAAAGAAAAGAAGAAAAGAAAGAACTAGAAAGATTATACTTATGGAACAGAATGGTCCAGACATATGCACATAGTTGGTATCCTAGAAAATACACTTTTTAATGGAAGACATGGAAAATTTAATGGAAAACTGTCTTCAGATGCATAATATGAAAAATAAACTTTCTGAAATAAAGTGCTAAATTTTCATATTAAAAGAGGAAAAAGTGGTAAGGAATTACTAATTGCAGAACATACTTATCAAAGTGGAGTCAGAAAAATATATTTGTACAAGAAGGGAAAATCAGGTACCCGAGAGTGTTCCACTGAACTTCCAGGGTCAGCAAAGTTTTAAGCAAAAGGAAATGCAAAAAGAGAATTTTATTCCCATCCATTTTTTCCCTAAAAAGTATTAAGGAAATAGATATTCATTTTCAAGCACATATAACGCAGGAACATAGGACCCATGAGCTCTTCTTGGAAGGAAAAATGCATTTGAAGGTGAAATCCAGGCAACTCAGAGCAAATATAGAACAAAGAACTCAGGAAGCGAATCAGTAGTAAATGGATCGGGGGTGAGCATCAAATTGATTTACATGTAAAACTGTAACTAAACTCTGGGAACTATGGTTACAAAGCAGATTGTGGAAATTATGAACCTTATTAAAAATAAAAATATAACAAAATCAATAGTTTAGGAGAATGGATGTAGGAGGAAGTGTAAGTACATTGATTTCCTCATTTTTCATAATAAGGAGTCAGTAGACACGTCTCATTTTAATGATAGTTAATGGACTCTAATCTCCTGCAGTGTTATTCATAGTCTTAGTTCTTAACCTGAGAGGAACCCCTCAGGAAATAACTTCTCATATCATGAAAGCATTTTCCTGAATTTCACCTTTTCCGACAGATCCATGTTATAATTTAAAATTGTATTTGCGAGGAGCGCCTGAGTGGCTTAGTTGGTTAAGCGTCCGACTTTCGCTTAGGTCATGATCTCGCGGTTCGTGGGTTGGAGCCCCGCGTCGGGCTCTGTGCTGACTGCCAGCTCGGAGCCTGGAGCCTGTTTCAGAGTCTGTGACTCCCTCTCTCTCTGACCCTCCCCTGCTCACGCTGTCTCTCTCTCTCTCTCCTATAAATAAAATAAAAATATTAAAAAAATAAATAAAATTGTATTTATGAAAGTTCATACCACAGTCAAATTTGGAAAATTTAGAAAAGGGAAAGGTCAATATCCATTATAGAAACAAAAATAATATTATTATTCATTCCAAAGAAAAGCACAAAACAGAAAAGGAAGAATCTCAGGGGTTCTAGGAAACTAGTCATTTTTTTTAATGAAGTTCATTTTTGTTAAAAGGCAATCATTGCTGTTTTAGGAAAGGAATGAAATCTGTGGCATTAACCTCTGTGTAATGATGTGTTCAGCTGTTATCGATCAGTGAGCTTTATATAATTAACATAAATCATTGTCTCCTTGACATTTTGCTGTACAATCCTAAGTGACACTAATATGAACAGTTTATGGCTCAACAATAAAATTTTGTAGTAAAATATGAAACTAATTGACACATTCTGTTTTCTAATCTGTTACTGCTGGAGAGAAAAACTTTAATAAATATTTCCATGATGACATGAATATAGTTTTAGTGAACGTAAGCATCTTTAGGAATTTTCTTTACTAGAGGAAGGTTTCAATGCATGACTGTGCCGTGGCATCGGCTCCGAACGACCACATTCCTGCCTGTAGACATGGGAGAAAACGATGAGATGCTCGGTGATTTGACGTGTAGCCTGGGAAATGCAGACTGCCTCTGGACACAGAAACTCCTAAAATTCTCATCCCGTTTTCATGGTTTCTTTTTTTATCTTTAACTTTCTCTAACATTCTATATTCAAGTTAATTAGTGATTGTCTGTCTCCCCCAACTGTTTATATATATTGAATGATGGAAGGACTTCATTTTTGTTCACCTCTGTGCTCCCAGATCCTAGAAATTTGACTGAGACATATTTGGAGCTCACGAGATGTTTGTTGAACAAATTGAATGCATGAATATGTAAGCTATAACCATAAGTTATCTGCCGTAAAGTATATTTTAGAAAGAGGTTGTTATTTCCAGGAGTCGCTTTAGCCACATCATATTAAGAATATCCTTAAGTTTTTGCATGAAAGCACTCATTAAAACCTCAACCTGTGGTCTTTTTTGATATTGATGTAATTGATACTTTGATATTTGATATTGATATTATTGTCTCTAAATCCTTAATAGGAGTCACATCTTAAGGGCAGACAAACTCATATTCAAATCCCAGTAGTTCACTTTTTAATTCTTTTTAATGTTTATTTTTGAGAGAAAGAGAGATACACACACAGAGTGTGAGTGGGGAAGGGTCAGAGAGAAAGGGAGACAGAATCCACAGCGGACTCCAGGCTCTGAGCTGTCAGCACAGAGCCTGACACAGGACTTGAACTGACGAACCATGAGATCATGACATGAGCCAAAGTCGGCCGCTTAATGGACTGAGCCACCCAGGCACCCCAAATCCCAGTAGTTCAATTTACTAAAACTGTAAACTTACTGGTCAGGTAGACTGCATACTGCCTATATAGAATGTGGGAAATTACCTCGTCTTGCTAAAACTCATTTCTAAATTGTAAAACAGAGCATGTAGAGACATCTAGTGTTTATCCATGCCGATTTTTCTTTTGTTTTGGTATTAGATTATTTTTCCACCCCTAAAACAGAGCAGGACTATTTAGCGCATCCTTCCAAACTTGTTATGAGCATAAGCTATTCTGGCAACCAGGGAGTCCTCTGTTTAAAACAGTGGGAGCCAATGTCCCACGGTCAGGGCAGAGTCATGTGTGGAAGAGCTCTTGACCTGCTGACGCAAGCTGGACTTGCACTAGAAGCACGAGATAAAAATCTGTGTGGTAGGATTTAATTTGTTATTGAGAGATAATAAAAATCTTGAGTAATATATGAGAGTGATATTTACCTCCTAATATTATTAAGTGTGTATCTAATACATTTAAAACAATAGGCTTGGTGCCTGTACAACTTTTAAAAGTCTGTGATTTATATCATTGTTATTACCATTACTGTTATTACTTCCTCTTATTCACTAAATCATTTTAAAGTAACCTCAAGAAGATATAGGAAAAGGGAACAAATGAGAATAAATGAGTAAAAGAAATACAAAAACAGAACATGGAAATTAAACTGGTTATAATATTCGTAATGACAGAGATAATATACAGATATTAACTGCCACATCCAAAATATTAGCTTAAATTTCATTACTTTAGACAAGGCTTCCAAAAAATGAATTGTGAGAAAGAAGTGGAAATAAAGAGGGGTTCCTGGGTGGTTCAGTCGGTTGAGAGTTTG